TGAACCCAAGTTAAATCAAGCTGAAAAGATGAAGTTCATGGCTGTGGCTTACCAGAAAAAGCCTAGAAATTTGTGCCTAGTAGCACCGATGGACAAGGGAGGAAGAGCAGAGCAGATCTGAAATTTTGCAGAAGGGGGGGGGGGGGAAGATTTCCAAGCTTAAATCTTGTTCTTGAACAAGAAAAGAAGGGCAAAAATCAAGCTTTCTCACTGGTTTCTCAAAGGGATGGGTGCTGCCGGGCTTGGGTTTCTTTGCTCGGCTGCAGGGGAAAAAGAAGAGCAAAATCGGGCTGAAGAAGGAAGAGGAAAAAGGAGAGAAAAAAAATCAGTCATCCTTATCCAAAATTTTCCCTTTTAAGTCCCTAAACTTTGAAATTTCTATTATTAAGCTCCAAAACAATATTTTCTCTCACAAAAACCCTTACTTAAATGCTAAAATATCACAAAATTTTGGGATATTACAGCAATAGAAGGATGACCGATACTATATCCAAATTGAAGGCTCGGTGTGCTAAGGCCAAATTCCAAAAAATGCCATCATACATTCCCCCCTCAGTGTGGCGGGGTCTTGTGAAAATTTGGATAAAAGATGAAAAGCATAAGAAAGCATCAAATATTGCATGAGCAAATCAGGAAAAAGGACCCGTTGTGACTCAAATTGGGGGCTCCATGTCACATAAGAAGTACATAAAAACATTCAACTTTTACTCTTTTTCGTTTTCAATGAGTACATTCAACTTTTACTTTTAATTTAGTTCATTAACACATTTTTAAGCTAATTAGTTAACTAATAACTTTCAAAATTCTTTGATATTCTAGAAAGCTCAAATGCCTATCAATCGGTCACTGACTCGCTTAGATGGTTACATGCACAGGCATTCCAAGCTTGGTCCCACCCAAGAAGCACCACGTGTTTTTTGTAATATGGTTGCTGAGACAATTGTGGTAAATATTATATGATCATTTTTACCTTATGATAATTTGATTAGTTTTACTTAAGTATATATGCACTCAAAATTGAATTTTATATCATGTTTGATAGTGTTGAATTGAATTTGATAACAAAATCTCATCTATCATATGATTTATAAATATTTGGTGAATGATTTGAATGAGAGTTATGCATTAATGACTTAAATGGTGGAGTTGTGTATTAATGACTTGAATGATGGAGTTGCATGTTAAATAAGTGTCACGCCCCAGAACCCAAATCCGAGACGCGACAGACGCCGTGCACTCGTGAGACGGGTCCCACAAGTGCACAAGGCTCGGAACTTATTCAAATCACAATCTGATACCACAAAATCTCAAGATAAAATCTTTACAGTCTGCTCTGATATCAAAAATCTCCACATACACTCTAACTCTTAAGATCACGATCTACATCTCAAATCTATATTCACTTTACAAGATGGCTAGCCTTCTAACTCGTCACTCCCCTTGGTTTTCCCCGTCCTCAGTTTCGCTTCCTGAAATGGTGGACAAGGAAAACTATGAGATAACTCAGTAAGTAAATATGGATAACCCTTGGGTAAAACTTTTAACATGCCAGATAAACCATGTAAACATAGCAAAACTTTCACTGATAAACCGTTAATGCGGAAATCAAGTTCAGTTCAATAGCAAAACGTTCAATGACAAAACCGTTACTGCAGAATCACATTCAGTTCAATAACAAAACATCTCATAACAAACCATTAATGCTGAAGAAAACTCAGTTCAGTAGTCTCATCTATAAGTCATGGCCAGTGTTATAACAACCCACTGGCGGGCGACAGAAATTTGCCAATGTATTCGCCCAGTGGCAGGCGTCAGAATAAACCGGTCATCAGTAAACATGTCGACATGTGCTAGCGTTACACCCACTAGTGGGGATTAGGAGTGCCAGCGTTACACCCACTAGCGGGGATCGGAAGTGTTACACACCCACTAGCGGGGATCGAAAGTGCTAGCGTTACACCCACTAGCGGGGATCGAAAGTGCTACACACCCACTAGCGGGGATCAGGAGTGCCAGCGTTACACCCACTAGCGGGGATTGGAACTGTTACACACCCACTAGCGGGGATCGGAAATCATGACCATATTAGAGACAAAACCATGCAGGATTCACAATCAAAATCCCAAATTTCAGAAATAACCAAAAAATTCCATGTGAGCATGGATTTAACAGAAACCTTAGAATTCGCAAACTCTCAGTTCATCAAAACAATTCAGTCAATTCCAAATAGGCATGCTAAACTCCAGAAAAAAAACAATGAAATTCTCATTTTCATTTCAGTCATGCTCAATTTCCAGAAAAACAAGGAAATTCTCATGAAAACCATCACAATTTCCATTTCAGTTAATCACACTCAAGTGCTGGTAAAATCAATTTAAAATCAATTAAAACCTTGCCACCATCTCAAAAACAGTTTAAAACATACTTTAAAATCAAAGGGCTTTACCATAATTTACTTACCTCACTCGCACAGAACCGAAGGCTAACCCAAGCGCTAGGGTGACAGAACGATCAAAACCTAATCACAATATTCCACAATTAATACCGCGCTACCACAAATTCAAAGTAAAATCATCATCGAGACTACCCTAATCACGGTGCTATTTCTATCAATCTTCACATAACCGGACATCTCCACATTCATTCTTATATCACAAACTAATCATTTAAATCCCCGTTAATTATTGACCCTTGGTGTGTGAACAGTGACTATGAACAGTACCATGAACAGTACCACGACGTGAACAGTAACTGCAATCCTCCAAAATAATCTCACGGGTTTTCTCCAAAAATCACTACAGGCCAACTCAAGCTAATTTTCTACTTAAACCACACTTAAAAACATAGCTTAAAGCTACCAAAATTCATTCCCAATTTCAACAGAAATTCCCGAACAGTACAAGGGCAAATCAAAGGCAGAAAATTCAAGATTCAAGGCAGCAAATCAACGGACAAATTCGGGGTTGGAGGGCTGTCACATACCAGAATTTAACAAGCAAAACCGAGCCTAGCAGGGGGGAGAAGCCGGCGGCAAAGAAGAAGAAATTCTACAGGGGAACTCGCGGCTACCCAATCCAAAAACCAAAACACAATTCAAGGTAAACCCAAGCCAAATTCAAAGCTAAAGAGATGAATTCATGGCTAAATCTTACCAGAAAAAGCCGAAGGATTCAAACCCAGCAGAACCCGACGGACAAGGGAGGAAGAAGCAGAGCAGATCCGGGATTTCTGGGTTGAGAGGGAAGATTCTAAGCCCCAAATCTCGTGATTTAACAAGAAAATAAGAGAAATTCAAGCTTTTTGCCGAGTTTCTCAAGGGAAACTATCGACAGCTTGGGGGGGGCTGGTCGGGTGCAGGGGAGAAGAAAAGAAGACCAGATGCGCGGATAAGGAAGAAGAAAGAAAGAAAAAGGAAGGCTGCTCATCCTTATCCTAATTTCCTTTCTTTTTAACCCCTCACCTTTTTAAAATTTTGCGATTAAGCCTCAAAACAATATTTTTCCTCAAATAAGTCCCCAACCAAATGCTAAAATACCCCCAAAATTTTGGGATATTACAATTGATCTATAGGCTCACCAATTCATGGTAAAAGTTTTCAATTCAATTCCTTAACAACAACAAAATCCTAACTTTGACACTATCTCCAATCATCTAAGATTGCA